TAAATTGTATTGTATAATAGTAATATATATATATATAATAATTTAAATGCTATTATGAGCTATTAGATAAAATCAATAAAACAATTTCTGCATTTTGACATATATTTAAAAGCGAACAAGGTTTTACTATGCTCGAACATATTCGAAAATGTTGGACCTTCCTGTAACTTTTTGTTTTCCCATCTCCAGAACTTCAAATTAAGTCGATTTGTCGAATGTTATTTGTTTAATTTTTTCATTGATTGAATAATGGATGCATACTCAATAACTAACATGCCATTTATTGTTCATAAGGGAATATTAACTCGACGATAATAGCGATCGTTGTACCTATTCAAATTTATCAAATTGAAAAGGAAATAATTTTTACTGCACATGCTATGTTATTGCTTCATACGCTCAACATAACTCCGACCTTACCTACTTACCACAATAAAATTATATTCCTATCTTGCCATTTATTAATTCTCTGTTTATAATGACGGATAATTCACATCACTTATGATGCTGTTGTGGGCAATATACTACTATACATTAGCTCAAATTGGGCCAGAAGGAAACATGTGAATCTCATTGTTAACAAAGTTTAAGGTGACACGATTTAGAACTTATAAATACAGAAAAAAAATCACCGGTTCTTAGTGAAAAAAACCTAACATTGTTTTCATAATTATGCACAGAAATTGTAAGATGACGTCAAATTAATCTGATATTACACACATGGATAAACTTGATTTGAACTTGCCCTTGATAGTTTTAATCATCTTTCTGCAGTATTATACGTAACATATTTTTGTTAGATGAATTTTGAGAGATGTAAACGAGGATTGATACATCACACGATGTATCAAGTGAAATGTTATATCATGCCAACATGTTATATTTTATATCAGCACATTTTATTATTAAATGAAATGTAATATCATCCCAAAATGTTATATTTTATATCAGCACATTTTATTATTAAATGAAATGTAATATCATTCCAACATGTTATATTTTATATCAGCACATTTTATTATTAAATGAAATGTAATATCATTCCAACATGTTATATTTTATATCAGCACATTGTATTATTAAATGAAATGTTATATCATGCCAACATGTTATATTTTATATCAGCACATTTTATGTATCAAGTGAAATATTATACCATCCCAAAATGTTATATTTTATATCAGCACATTTTATGTATCAAGTGAAACATTATACCATCCCAAAATGTTATATTTTATATCAGCACATTTTATGTATCAAGTGAAACATTATACCATCCCAAAATGTTATATTTTATATCACACATTTTATGTATCAAGTGAAACATTATACCATCCCAAAATGTTATATTTTATATCACACATTTTATCATTAAATGAAATGTTATATCATCCCAACATGTTATATTTTATATTAGCACATTGTATTATTAAATGAAATGTTATATCATCCCAACATGTTATATTTTATATCAGCACATTTTATTATTAAATGAAATGTTATATCATTCCAACATGTTATATTTTATATCACACATTTTATTATTAAATGAAATGTTATATCATTCCAACATGTTATATTTTATATCAC